GATGATGCAGGGCTCCATCCCAGGACCCTGGGATCATGACCTGAGCCGAAGGCAGACGCTTAACGACTGAGCCACCCAGGAGCCCCAAGAGAGCTTATTTTTAGAACTGCAAAACTCCATTTTTGTGACTACTTAATTAAAATAAAATCAGGTGCAAAAATAAGACTATGCCCCCCCCCCCAAATTCAGAGAGGAACTTCAGAAAACAATGACAATGAAAGGCACTTTCAAAATAATGTATGGTATATTAATTTATTCAATATTTATGACCACTATGAACTTCTGGAATGAGGTGGATATTAACTCAAACATGAAGCAAACATTTACTAAGTACCTACCATGTGCTAGGCTTTGGACTACCTATACCAAAAAAAAAAAAAAAACATAGTCCTTGCCCTCATGGAGCGCACAGTCTAGTTGAAGCAGACGATCACAAATACAATGGCAAAGCACCAGGGAGACATTATGGAAGAAGGGACTGGTTCTGCCTGGAGAATGCAGGGGCAGGCTTCACAGAGGTGGAGACAATGGAGCTGGGCCTTGGATGAGTAGGAGTTCACCAGATGGAGGGGAAGGGGGGAAGCGCATTCCAAGCAGAGGAAACAGCACATGAGCAAGCAGAATCTTGAAAGCACATGCCATGGTGCAGGATGATGAGCAGTCCAGCGCAGCTAGAGCATAAAGGTGCACACAAACTAAAGAGACGAATTAGTTTTTGGTTTTTAGTGAATCATAACTATCAGGAACATATCTTCATATTATATTTAGTGTAGTTTAACTGTGATTCTGAGAACAACAGGGCAGCCTGAAAGCATTCCACTCATTTTATAAATACTTGACCCCTTTTGATAGGTATCCAGCATTGTGGTAAGTTTTTTTTTAAAGGCAGTTTAAGAAAACTAAATCTTAATTTTGCTCTGTATATTTAAGAAGCAAAATCAACCTAAAATAAGGGTTTTCTTAAGCTGAATCACAGAGCTATACACACTGCAGGTCCTCACTTTCTTTTGAGTTCCCTCTACCACCACTGTCTTTTACCCTTAACGCCTTCATAGCTATCAACCCAAAGTAATCCCACTGTTAAGCAATAGAGAAAGCAATTTCAGTCTTCCGTTCCCATTCCATCTATAAACAAGGTACTTGACAATGTCCCTATGGTAAATGGATGCATGGGAACCAATGCAACAGATGAAGAAACAATGTACTCTGACCCGCATACCAATTTTTGGAAATTAAACTATTATTAACAAACTATTAAGCTGAATTCTGAATAAAGAGAGATATGAAGCAGAGACCCATATCCTTCAGGAAAAGTAAAAAGATACAAAGTAAGAGATCTTAGGTCAAAAAATTTCCATGTACACTGGCCACCAAGCAACACTGTTCACCAAGGAAGCTTGGTGCTTAAGAAGGTGCAGCGGGGAAAGGAAAGGAACTCACATGGGTCAAATACTTTATTAGATGTTTTCATATAACTTCCTATTTACTCCTTGCAATAATGTGCAAGGAAAGAGGTCACTACCTTAGTTTTACAAATGAGAGATTTGAGGCCATCAGAGGTTAAAAAGAGTTACCCATGACTGCCTGAGCTAGTAAGTGGCAGAGCCAATACATCAAACCACGCCGGCCTGGTTCCAAAGCCCATCCCATCCTACACACTGCCTCAGGGTTCCTAAAAGGAACACAGTACCCCCACGCAGCATGCGAGGTTGTATCAAGGTCATATATACCCTGGAAAGAAAAGCCCTTACTTTTCCCTCCCCTGTGTTCACACAGTCAGTGTGAAATGACAGTGGGGGCAATACACATAGATCTCTGAAATTTAGAGGAAGAAAAATTGAGACAAAATGGTTATGTAAGATCAGCTGCCCTTGCAGGGGATGGGGGGGCTTTCTTGGTAAAGATATTGGGTGCTCTGATACAATTAAATTACCATAATAATTCAAATGCTACTTGTTTAAATTACTATACAATAAACCATCAGCAGCTCAATAAAAGTAAGAGCTAATGGAAAAATCTCCAATCGCAGTATTAGGATGAGAATATTACTGCTAAAAGTCATTATCCTCAACATCTTCAAAAGTCAAAATAAAAATTGCCCTTTTGCAAATCCTAATTCTGAAAACTGATAGGTAAGCATAAACTATGTGGTAAGGATACTTGCCACATTAAAATTTTGCCTCTTTTTGGGCAATAGGAACTATTTTAAGAAAAAAAAAATATGAGACAACATCAACACAGAAATCTTTTGTAAACAGTCCCAGTGGGCCAAAAATATGTTGGCCTAGACAGATACTGAAATACTGTTTTCAACTGTGCACAATTTACTTATGCAAAGTACCACCAACTACCAGAAAATTAATCAGATTTGTAAGTCCAAATGCTTTGGGGGGAGGCGGAGTGGGTGGGGGGAGACTGGGATGTTTAGACAGCCAAAATTCTAGTGACATAATTACAATGTAAGATACTTTGTGGAGAGCTTCTGAAATAGCATCCATATGTTCTAAGTAAATTCACCAACCTTATTTTGATTGAGAGGATCATTCCGCAGTCTCTGTTTGTTCTTCTGTAATTTACTAGGCATCATCTTTCCAGTTCTGAAGTCAAAACTGCTGAGGTCAACAGTATTTCCCAGGTACCTTGCCAACTGAGGTTTGCTTCTGAACTTCTTACCACTTGGACTAGAAGAAAGAGAACATTCATTGTACAAAAGATAACAATGTTTTTCCCTAGATCTCTACATAAACCTTTCTTCACATCTTTCTACCCAATTGTTACCACACCACAATTTTACATGTTTATTTTTTTCCCAAAGAAATGGCAAAGTTTTAAAGTAATTTCATAACTTCCCTGTCAGAAGAGATAATGTATCCCCGAATATTACACTCCACTAGCTACACCACTGGAGTACATAACAGATGTTACTGCAGATTATCCCACCGGTCACTCAGCAGCCACGGACAGAATCCCCGTACAAACTGCACGCACAGCACAATACGCACACTGCAATGTCTTCAACATTACAAACTTATTTCCAAACTGACTTTTGAAGTGTTTTGGTTTTTTTTTGTAAGTATTACATATACACAATGTCAGCAATGATCAGCACTTCAGAAAAAATTCTTCTGAAGTCAACAATCCTTATTAAAAACACACACACAAAAACACTTGGAATCCATGTATTCTTTGGGCTACTAATGTGAACTCACATTTACAACAGAAAAGAAAATGTTGAATTCTGACAATATTTAAATGCTCCCTAATGTAACTACTCAAAGGAGGAAATAAAGGCAAACATTTGCAAATGTGTTTGTATATTGCTGACATGAGTTTTATTAGCCAAAGTCCTTATCAAGAATAACTTACTTCTCATAAGAAATATTGTTGAAGGAAAATTATAAAAGTGCCAGAATTATACAGAAAGCTAAACTAGTCTTTCCTAAAACTTTTTTTGCTATATGGCATTGATCTATAAGAAAATTTTTATAGGAAGAATGCCCCCGTCTTATGTAACAAATTTTCTGAGCCAAATATACTAAAAATCAACTGTTAAAGTCAGCATAGATATGTTACCAGAAGAAAACTGTAAGAATTCTAAAATATTTCTCCAAAAAGCCAACCTATCCTATTTAGAACTTAACCTTGTATGAACTGACCACAATAAAAGAAAAATAATTGAAGGGGAAGACAAAAGAGAATTCTGGCTGGGAAACCAAGCAATAAAATACTGCCCTGGAAGAGCAAAACTTCTCTCTGGGTCAAATCCAAACCAACACATCGCACTTTGTCACAAATTCTATCGTATTCTGCCACCAAAATTTGATCATATCAGCAGTTTTTTCCCCCACAATCACATAATGTAAGTATTCCTGAAACACAATTCAAGTTCTAAAATTCAACCTACAGATGGAGGTAACAACCAACACTCTCAATGAGGTATCTCTCTAATGAGACATCTCATCAGTGCAATAAAAGCTGAACTTAAGAGTGGACTTAGTTTCAACAGACTAGTGTTCCAGAAGATGAAAATACTAAGGTAGCAACTTCTACCAAAAAGATAAGCACTATTATTTTTAAGGATATAACTTAGAGACAACTAGAAAGTCATTTTTTAAGAAATCAATTGACTAATTTCTCAAACGAGCCCTGCAACGAGTCACTCCTTATGGAACAGTTGAAATGCCAGTTACCTACTGCAGCTGAAAGCATACCAGAGCCTCACTACAGCATTCCTCCTTAGAACAAAACTCCTTAGAGATCAGTTTGACACTCCTCCTCAAATTTAGGAAATCTAAATACTTAAGAACTCAGTTAAATAGCCATACTCATAAAATGTGACTGCCTAGTTTATGATCTAGATTAGCAATTTAATATGGCTTAAACTGTTCCTATATTTATTGATTTTAAAAAACAAATGGAAACTGAAAGGCCTGAGACACTCTACTGATAAACTAAATCAGCGATGAAGAAAGTGGAAATCAAGTTTTAACTATTAACATATCCCAAAAAAGGAATATCAAAGGGTTACCAGTCAGTTATTCATACTAAATTCACTGCCCTCTGTCATAAGATGGAATTCTATGAAGCATCTATACTGGATAGCTACAAGTTCTCGTCCTACACACTGTGGCGTTCAGAACAGTGGTACAAGCCATTTTCTTCTCTGTAACTGCTACAGCTTGTGCTTGGTGCTTTAAGGAAAGTCAACCTGGCTGCCCCAGGAGATTTTAAACAAGGGACCTTCCTCCGCACAGGATGAAGGTAAGCATATAGAAAAGCAAGGCCCAAGGGAATGGTTAAGTAAGGATTCTGTCCATCAGATATAAAATATTTGCACAGCACCAAAATGACCCTGGAAGTGGCAGGCGAAATAATGCTAGATGAACAAAAAGACTGCATGTCACTTAAGCTCCAGTCTTAACCCAGACTACGTTATCAGTCTGCCCTCTAAGATGGCTGCGGTAGGTTGCCGTCTCACACACACCAGAACTTAATGTGACTAAGCTTTTATTCTAAAAGCAGCAAACTAAAAAAAAAATAAAAAAATAATAAAATAATAAAAGCAGCAAACTGTAACTTAGGAAAATTACTTTTTTTAAAAAAATTCTAGTAGACTAGTGAAGGATATTAGTCATTTTCAGTTTCTAACCAAAGTGATTACTTCTAATCCCAGTAATGAAATACTAATATTTCACTTTCAACCACAAAAAAAATTCCCTACCAACTGCCCCCAGATATGCCAGCCCTGAACCAACTTGTGATTTCACCTTTAACTTTTCCTACCCTCCAAATACCCTAAAGTAATGATTAAACTAAAATCAAAGACATGAATTTTTTTTATAAAAGAACATTTCATCATTTGAACTGCCTTTGCTTTCATTTTGATTAAACTGTTTAAAGCACTTAAGCCTAACTCTGTCTTAGAGGTTTCTAACTACAGGTTATGAAAAAGAAAGAAATTTTATTTGGCATCTGACTTTCAACTCTAAAAAAACTTCATTGAGACACCAAAAACTACTTAAATTGTGATCGTCTTAATTTAGTGGTATTCACATTTTATCACTCTATAAACTCACCTGTAATCATCATTCCCTGAGCTAGACAACTGTAACATGCCCTGCCAGTCTCCACATAAAAATTAATTCTTCTGAAAACCCATTGCTTGCCTATGCAACTGCACTCTGAAAACACTCCTCTAAAAGAGCAGAACCTCTTTTTCCATGTTACTTGGGTAACATGGATCATCATGACGTTTAGTCAAACATTATGAGGAGACCAGAGTCTGAGCAAACACAAGTGTATCTTCAAACCAGTTTCTAACAGGATGAACTGTGGGGGTGGCAATAATCAGAGTTCAATAAGGTGAAACTGGCCTATGAGTGACAAGGAGCACTGTGGACAGCAGATGGTAGCTATATGGCTGAAGATCATGTTCAGAAGTGCATCACTTGGGCGCCTGGGTGGCTCAGTTGGTTAAGCGACTGCCTTCGCCTCAGGTCATGATCCTGGAGTCCCTGGATCGAGTCCCGCATCAGGCTCCCTGCTTGG